TTTTTCCTAAGCATTCCTTATCATGATTGTATTGACAGAATCCTTTTGACTTCTGTGTTGCATAGATATGATGTCATGGAGTGACGCTTGCTGTATGGCGCAAGCTGATCTGTGGTCTTCTGATGAAAGGCGGTATGTAAGTCCCCCCCCCCCCAATTGCTACCACTACTATTACCACTAATAATAACAGGACGAGAAGAAGGCCCTGCAAAAAAGAAGATAATAAATAATGGAAAATTAATGAATTGCATCAAACTATTGACTAACTACCTCACTCCGCTGTAATTCATTTAGAGGATATTAAAACCAGAAGAACAATAATAAAAGCCTGCCAGCCCACCCCCCACCCCCCGCAGAAGGCGATGGCCAGCAAATTGGATAGTTCCCTTAATCTGGCGTAAATAATATCAGGCTTCCTCCTCTCTCTGGCCAATTCTCCCTATCATTTAGAGAAGGCTCAGAAGCCAGGCTTCATAATTGATATCAGTTACTCTGTGAGGACTCCCTCCCTCCACCTGCTCACGTCCTGTGAAACAATTTCAAAGTTTCCCTTTGGATTTGGGTACAGGAATTTTTTTTTTTGGGGGGGGGAAGGCAAATAGTTCGCCATTGTTTTGCTGTCTCTCTTAGCAAAACCATTCTAAATAAAATGCAAGGCCAAGCAAGCAGGTACGGTGGTACCTTGGGTTAAGAACTTAATTCGTTCCGGAGGTCCGTTCTTAACCTGAAACTGTTCTTCACCTGAAGCACCACTTTAGCTAATGGGGCCTCCTGGTGAAGCCGCACGATTTCTGTTCTCATCCTGAAGCAAAGTTCTTAACCGAGGTACTATTTCTGGGTTAGCGGAGTCTGTAACCTGAAGCGTCTGTAATAATAATAATAATAATAATAATAATAATTTATTTATACCATGTCCATCTGGCTGGGCTTCCCCAGCCACTCTGGACAGCTTCCAACAAAATATTAAAATACCAAATGCATCAAACATTAAAAGCTTCCTTAAACAGGGCTGCTTTCAGATGTCTTCTAAAAGTCTGGTAGTTGTTGTTCTCTTTGACATCTGGTGGGAGGGCGTTCCACAGGGCGGGTGCCACTACCGAGAAGGCCCTCTGCCTGGTTATCTGTAACCTCACTTCTCGCAGTGAGGGAACCACCAGAAGGCCCTTGGTGCTGGACCTCAGTGTCTGGGCAGAACAATAGGGGTGGAGACACTCCTTCAGATATACTGGACCAAGGCCATTTAGGGCTTTCAAGGTCAGCACCAACACTTTGAATTGTGCTCGGAAACGTACTGGGAGCCAAAGTAGGTCTTTCAGGACCGGTGTTATGTGGTCTTGGCGGCCGCTCCCAGTCACCAGTCTAGCTGACGCATTCTGGATTAGTTGTAGTTTCCAGGTCACCTTCAAAGGTAGCCCCACGTAGAGTGCATTGCAGTAGTCCAAGTGGGAGACAACCAGAGCATGTACCACTCTGGCGAGACAGCCTGTGGGCAGATAACCTGTAACCTGAAGCGTCTGTAACCTGAGGTACCACTGTACTGACTGGTGCTTAAACAAGGTGGACCACATTGGCACGAAATCAGCACACAATAATCCAGGGTTTCCCAAACTTGCTGTTTTTTTGGACTACAACTCCCATCACCCTTAGCTAGCAGGGCCAGTGGCCAGGGATGATGAGACTTGTAATCCAAGACTGCTGGAGACCCTGCATAATCTATACGTATTAAGCTGTTTTACGCTGAGCCAGCCACACATTTGGATGGCTAAATACCTGCATGGTCTTCTGCTAGTTTTCTGGAAGAGGTTCTGATGCTCTGATATAATGTGGGAATTAACAGTTAGGGGAATGTCAGGGAAATGGAGTGAACTGTTGTGCAAATGGTTACTCTGCCCATAGTACAGAGAAAAGAGTGTACTATAAGGAAGGAGATTCCGACTAAACATCAGGAAGAGGTTTCTGACAGTAAGAGCTGTTCAATAGTGCAATGGACTCCCTCAGAAGGTTGTGGGCCTTCTGGCGGTTCCCTCATTGCAAGAAGTGAGGTTACCGGGAACCAGACAGAGGGCCTTCTCGGTAGTGGCACCCGCCCTGTGGGTCGCCCTCCCATCAGATGTCAAGGAAATAAGCAGCTATCTTATTTTTAGAAGACATCTGCAAGCAGCCCTGTTTAGGGAAGATTTTAATATTTAATGCTGTATTGTTTTTAACACTCGATTGGGAGCTGCCCAGAGTAACTGGGGAAACTCAGCCAGATGGGCAGGGTATGAATGAATGAATGAATGAATGAATGAATGAATAAATATTATTAATCCTAGGAGGCCATGCTTCTTCTTTTTTATACTTTTTTTATTTATGCTGTTCAGGTTTATACAATTCACTAATTTTACAATCACTTTAACATTCCAAAACTTGACTTCCTTCCACCTCTTTCTGCGGGTCCATAACTTTATTTTTAATATATTCTGCATATCCAGATTAACTTAATTTGCTCATTTATTCATCTGCTTTAAATATATACTCTTATCAAACTGCAGGCTATTACAATAATCCTGCCAATGTTCTTATCTGTTTACAATTTATCTGTAAATATTCAATAAACCATTTCCATTCTTTTATAAAAAGAAGTTTGTTATCTTGATTTCTTATTCTTCCAGTAAGTTTCGCCATTTCTGCATATTCCATAAGTTTTTGTATCCATTCTTCCTTTGCTAGGACCTCTGCTTCTTTCCATTTAGGCCATGAGACGCTTCTAATCTTGCCTCTGTCATAAAATCTCTAGATGTCCTTCAGGCAAACTATTCCCTCTCAGCCTTCCGATCTGCAGTATGGGAGTAATAGTAATAGTGATTCATCTTAGAGGATTACTGCAAGGATTTAGCTTATTCAGTGGCATTACATTTTGCATATTTATTTTACATTTCTGCCCACCCGGATCCCGAAGATTACTCTGTGCGCTTCGTTAAGTTATACTACTGTTTTGAACACTCAAAAAGCACAGTATCAGGAGAAACTTCCCAAGGGGGTTGTTGACCTTGCAGGGTCCCCCAGTGGAAGTTGTGTAACTTGCAAATTCAGTATATTAGCAGAAGCTGTAAAGATAAAGGTAAAGGGACCCCTGACCATTAGGTCCAGTTGCGGACAACTCTGGGGTTGCGGCGCTCATCTCGCTTTACTGGCTGAGGGAGCCGGCGAACAGCTTCTGGGTCATGTGGCCACCATGACTAAGCCACTTCTGGTGAACCAGAGCAGCGCATGGAAACGCCGTTTACCTTCCCGCCAGAGCGGTACCTATTTATCTACTTGCACTTTTTGGCATGCTTTCAAACTGCTAGGTTGGCAGGAGCAAGGACCGAGCAACGGGAGCTCACCCCATCACGGGGATTCGAACCGCCAACCTTCTGATCGGCAAGCGCTAGGCTCAGTGGTTTAACCCACAGCGCCACCCACATCCCATAGCAGAAGCTGTACTTAGGTCTATTCTTACAAAAGTTACTGCGTGCCCTGAAGTCCGGTGGGTTCAGGTGTGTTATAGTTGTCAATCAATCAATCAATCAATCAATCAACCAACCAACCAACCATAAGGACATAAGAAGACCCGCCCTTCACTAGTGGGTCCCAGGGAGTGTTACAGCATTTTAAAATCCAGAATTAAAAATGGTGAAAACATACTGCACTCACAAGAATTGGGTGGATCCTGAAACACATGAATCAGAGGTACCTAAGAGGTGAGTGTTCAGGATTGCCCAGAAACTCTATAGTGAATCCAGATGCACCTCTGTGGGGTGGACGTTTCACCACAGCTTAGGGGCTGCCACATTTCCCAGGCCACCACCACCCCATAACCTTTTGTAGGGATGCGAATTGATGCCAGGAGAGGATATATTTATTAGAGGTTATCGCACATGTGTGAGTTCAGCAGAGTGCTATCCCTTTGCAGCTTAAAAGGAAGCTTAGTGTAATGGTTCTAGGGGTTGCTCGTGCGTAAGCCGGTGCTTATCTCCCCGGCTGGGTGCAAACACCTGGCTGGGTTGCCAAAGTGAACCTTTTCTGTCCGGACAGCCACTCACCCGTGGCTGACTCAATCGCTGGCAGAATCAGTCAGTGGGCGTTTCTTAAACTTCTTCCAGCAAAGAAGCTCTTTGAGGCCTAGTCTCCTCCTACTCTCTCTGCGCGAAAGCCTTCTGCGCAAGGAGGGCGTGGGCAACGGAGGACCCCTACTCTCCCCGCTGGTCCCAGGCAAGGAGTCATGGGACCGCCTCGCCGCTTCCCCCATCTGCCCCCCTTCTCCACTGGTGCTACACTGATTCTCTTACCCAGAAGATGGGCTGCTTCTCCCGATCCCTGGACGCTCTCTGAAATCCCTCTGGCTTTTGCTCTCTCCCTCCGGCACTGATGGCAGTTCCCTGACACTTAGATTAGCCTATCTAAGTTTTGGCCTTTTTAGTTTAAATAATCCAGGATGCTTTAAGGCAGACTAGATTCTCCTGGTAGGGACATGGGTGGCGCTGTGGGTTAAACCACAGAGCCTAGGACTTGCCGATCAGAAGGTTGGCCGTTCGAATCCCCGCGACGGGGTGAGCTCCCGTTGCTCGGTCCCTGCTCCTGTCCACCTAGCAGTTCAAAAGCACGTCAAAGTGCAAACAGATAAATAGGTACCGCTCCAGCGGGAAGGTAAGCGGCGTTTCTGTGCACTGCTCTGGTTCGCCAGAAGCGGCTTAGTCATGACCCGGAAGCTGTACGCCGGCTCCCTTGGCCAATAAAGTGAGATGAGCGCTGCAACCCCAGAGTCGGCCACGACTGGACCTCATGGTCAGGGGTCCCTTTACCTTTACCTTTAGATTCTCCTGGTATTTCCCCCTTTTCTCACCCTTAGGACACAAACGGTCTTGTGAAAATAACATTTACTCCTTCAGAGCTTGTGTTGCAGAATAACAGGTACAGCAGCTTATTTCAGGCAGGCTTAAAATTGAAATTCAGTAGCCTTATGCTCAATCTGGGAAGGAAGGCTATAGCCCAGTGGTAGAGCATCTGTTCTGGATGCAGAAGGTCGCAGGTTCAGTCCCCAGCATCTCCAGGCAGGGCTTGGAAATAATGGCTATCTGAAATCCTGGAGAGCTGCTGCCAGTCAAAACAGGCAGCACTGAGCTATATGGACCACTGGCCTGACTTGATATAAAGCAGATTCTTGCAGGCCATCTCTTAGATCTGAAAATTGGAGAGGCGTTGTTGTGCTTGGCTGAAGGAAGACAGACGGGGGGGGGGGGAGAGGGAGAGGGGGAGAGAGGGAGAAAGAAGAGTTCAAATGAGTTTTACATGACAGCAACCTCTCCCGCCGCACCCAGGAGTGGCATCCTGTTTCCATCCCGCAGAAATATTCAGTTTGCAAATCGGGTTTAAGGAGACGATCCGAAAATCCGTTTTGGCTCTGAAAGTGGCGGATGGGAGACGAGCCCCAAAAACATCATCGGCGGAAATTATTCCAAGGAGTCAAACAGATAATTTGGGAGGTAATTTTAAAAAGGGGGGAAAAAAAGGCCGGATGAAATGAGGCACTTGAATTGTGAACTGTCAGGAGCAAAGCATCTGAAGTTTAAAGAACAGCACCACAATGACAGGGAGCTTGGCCTGCCGCACTTTTCATGCAGCTGGATTTAATCACTCTTCCTTAATAACACCATCACCGCCCTCTGATATTTTATTAAGAGCATAAGAAGAAGAGGCTGCTGGATCATCGGGTCCAGCATCCTTCTCTCACAGTGGCCAACCAGCAGTGGCGTAGCAAGGTCAGCTGGTACCCGGGGCAGAAAATTTCTTCTCACCCCCCCCATTGAAATCTAGTTGGACTCCCAAGAGACTGCGATCTACTCACAGTATAAAAAGACCAGCTGTAATATACCCATTGTCATTCCCAGGCGTCCCTATGTGCCAGAAACGTAATCACACACACTTCTTTCTTTGGTGATCACTTGTAGCCGAGTAAGATTGTCTTCCATAAACACGGTCTTAACAGTGAGTCCGTAAGTGACTGTGGAGGCCAATTCTGGATCCACATGTCCTTCCACAGTGGGGACATTGGTTTCCAGGCAGGAGCTGATCATGGTGTGGATTTGCCAAGTGTGCCTTCCTCTTAGCACGTTTCTCCCTTTCGTCCTGAGTTTGAGGGTCTTCAAAACCCATGACACCTTTGGTAAAGGCTGTTCTCCAATTGGAGCGCTTGCAGGCCAGTGTTTTCCAGTTGTCAGTGTTTATACTACATTTTTTTAGATTTGCCTTGAGACAGTCTTTAAACCTCTTTTGTTGACCACCAGCATTACGCTTTCCATTTTTAAGTTTGGAATAGCGTAGTTGCTTTGGAAGACGATCATCAGGCATCCACACAACAGGACCAGTCCAATGAAGTTGATGTTGAAGAATCAGTGCTTCAACACTGGTGATCTTTGCTTCTTCTAGTACACTGGTATTAGTTTGCCTGTCTTCCCAAATACACAGTCGTACTTCGGATCCCAAACACCTTGCAAGTTGAACGTTTTAGCTTCTGAACACCGCGAACCCGGAAGCGGGTGTTCTGGTTTGCATACGTTCTTTGGAACCCCAATGTCCGACGGAAGGCATGCCTTGGTTTCCAAACGTTTTGGAAGCCAAATGGACTTCCAGAATGGATTCCGTTCAACTTCCAAGGTACGACTGTAATGTTAGTTGGGCTGTTTGGGAGCTGTTTGGGAGCTCCTGCCAACCTAGCAGTTCGAAAGCACGTCAAAGTGCAAGTAGATAAAGAGGTACTGCTCTGGTGGGAAGGTAAACGGCGTTTCCGTGCGCTGCTCTGGTTCGCCAGAAGCGGCTTAGCCATGCTGGCCACATGACCTGGAAGCTGTACGCTGGCTCCCTTGGCCAATAAGCGAGATGAGCGCCGCAACCCCAGAGTCGGCCACGACTGGACCTAATGGTGAGGGACCCCTTTACCTTTACCTTGGGAGCTGAACCCTTTGGCCCATTCTGCGGTTTGTCTGTGCTTCTCTGGAATAACATCATACACAGTGCCAACCACACCCAGGACATAACAGTGTGTCTTGCACATGTGTGTGTGCTGAGCCCAGCAGTCCTCTCTCCACCACAACTAAGCTTCAGGTGAGGCAGGATGGCTTTCCAGTCTGTTGCATCTCCAAAGGCTTTGCCTACTGTTTACAGAGAAGGGGTAGGGGAATGGCAGGCAGGTTGGCAAGGCTCCCTTTTGCTCCTGGCTTCCCCCGGCTGCATCCCTTCAGACTGGTACTGATGGGAGGCGGCTGTTTCTTGTTTAAACTAGGAGGCGGTTGCTTAGCAACCCATAGGAGGCTCATTATTCGGAGCCGGAGTGATTAACAACAACAAAAAGGAAAAAGAAAAAAAGAGAGGAGGGGAAAGAGGGAGGGGTGCCTGAAAGTAAAACGGATCCATTATTTAATTAACTAATTGATGATCAACTTCTTTTTAATTATTCACTTAATTAAAGAAGTGTGAGTACAACATTGGCCTTATCAGCTTGCGCTGAAATGCTGACAAGATTTCAAAGACAAAAGATTCCTCCCTGTGACTGATTCAGGCAGAAACCCACCGCTTCCTGCTTCCTTCTTAGCTAACTTCTGGACCCCCACCCCAAAAAGCTCCATCCCTCCCACCAAGATTTCCCCTCCAGATATTCTCCCCCATTTCCCCCCACCTCTCTGATTACACATGTAGAGCAGAGATTTTTTTTTTCAGAGGAATGGGTACAGAAAAGGGGCAAGATATAGTTCTAGGTGGGAGAGTGATGTCCAGCATGTTAAGATCTCGGAAAGAAAAATAAGAGTCTCTGTTAATGACAGCAATTGGGGGTGGGTGGGCAAGTTCCTTTTTTTGGGTTGGGGTGCTTGTCTTCCTGCCCCCTCTGGCACCACCCACAGTATAGAGAATAATGGTGATGAAGATGAAGATGAAGATGATAATAAGAATAAGAATACTTTTATTACTTATATGCCGCCCATTTGACTTGGGTGTCCCAGCCATTCTGGGCGGTTTCCAGCAAAATATACAAACTTATAATATAAAAACATGAATATAAATCTAAGGGAAGAAAAAGTGAGCTGGGTTTCAGTAACAGGCCCAATGCAACCAAAATGCACGATCTCCTCAAACGCAAAGTTGCAAATCATAAAGAGAAGTGAATTGAATCATAGAATCATAGAATCATAGAATCATAGAGTTGGAAGAGACCACAAGGGCCATCGAGTCCAACCCCCTGCCAAGCAGGAAACACCATCAGAGCACTCCTGACATATGGTTGTCAAGCCTCTGCTTAAAGACCTCCAAAGAAGGAGACTCCACCACACTCCTTGGCAGCAAATTCCACTGTCGAACAGCTCTTACTGTCAGGAAGTTCTTCCTAATGTTTAGGTGGAATCTTCTTTCTTGTAGTTTGGATCCATTGCTCCGTGTCCGCTTCTCTGGAGCAGCAGAAAACAACCTTTCTCCCTCCTCTATGTGACATCCTTTTATATATTTGAACATGGCTATCATATCTCCCCTTAACCTCCTCTTCTCCAGGCTAAACATGCCCAGCTCCCTTAGCCGTTCCTCATAAGGCATCGTTTCCAGGCCTTTGACCATTTTGGTTGCCCTCCTCTGGACACGTTCCAGTTTGTCAGTGTCCTTCTTGAACTGTGGTGCCCAGAACTGGACACAGTACTCCAGGTGAGGTCTGACCAGAGCAGAATACAGTGGCACTATTACTTCCCTTGATCTAGATGCTATACTCCTATTGATGCAGCCCAGAATTGCATTGGCTTTTTAGCTGCCATGTCACACTGTTGGCTCATGTCAAGTTTGTGGTCAACCAAGACTCCTAGATCCTTTTCACATGTACTGCTCTCAAGCCAGGTGTCCCCATCTTGTATTTGTGCCTCTCATTTTTTTGCCCAAGTGCAATACTTTACATTTCTCCCTGTTAAAATTCATCTTGTTTGTTTTGGCCCAGTTCTCTAATCTGTCAAGGTCATTTTGAAGTGTGATCCTGTCCTCTGGGGTGTTAGCCACCCCTCCCAGTTTGGTGTCATCTGCAAATTTGATCAGGATGCCCTTGAGTCCATCATCCAAGTCGTTGATAAAGATGTTGAATAAGACCGGGCCCAAGACAGAACCCTGTGGCACCCCACTAGTCACTCTTCTCCAGAATGAAGAGGAACCATTGATGAGCACCCTTTGGGTTCGGTCAGTCAGCCAGTTACAAATCCACTGAGTGGTAGCATAGTCAAGACCGCATTTTACCAGCTTCTTTACAAGAATATCATGGGGCACCTTGTCAAATGCCTTGCTGAAATCAAGGTAGGCTACATCCACTGCGTTCCCTTCATCTACCAGGCTTGTAATTCTGTCAAAAACGAGATCAGGTTAGTCTGACATGACTTATTTTTCAGAAATCCATGCTGACTATTGGTGATCACAGCATTCCTTTCTAGGTGCTCACAGACTGTTTGCTTAATGATCTGCTCCAGAATCTTCCCTGGTATTGATGTCAGACTGACTGGGCGGTAATTATTTGGGTCCTCTCTTTTCCCCTTTTTGAAAATAGGGACAACATTTGCCCTCCTCCAGTCTGCCGGGACTTCGCCTGTTCTCCAGGAATTCTCAAAGATGACTGCCAGTGGTTCTGAGATCACATCTGCCAGTTCTTTTAATACTCTTGGATGCAGTTCATCTGGCCCTGGAGACTTGAATACATCTAAACTAGCCAAGTATTCTTGTACTATCTCCTTAGTTATTCTGGGCTGTGTTTCCTTTGCTGAATCATTTGCTCCAAATTCTTCAGGTCGGGCATTGTTTTCTTTATCGGAGAAGACTGAGGCAAAGAAGGCATTGAGGAGTTCAGCCCTTTCTGTGTCCCCTGTTTGCATTTCACCATCTTCTCCTCTGAGTGACCCCACTGTTTCTTTGTTCTTCCTTTTGCTACGAACATACCCATAAAAGCCTTTTTGTTGCTTTTAACCTCTCTAGCAAGCCTGAGTTCATTCTGTGCTTTAGCTTTTCTGACTTTGTGTCTACACGTGCTGGCTATTTGTTTGA